TCGTAGTCCGCCATTAAAATCTGTTGGTTATATTTTATTCCTCCTTATTCATACCAAACATTCTGAAATTTTAAAAAATGCACACCTGCGCTGAAGCGTAAAACACAATATGGAAAATGTCAGGCTATTGACCAATTAAGCTAGTTAACAGTTACATTTTTGAAATTGAAATTTATACTACGCAAATTGCGATTAAAATAGCCTTCGAATTTATTTGGAAAAATTAGAATTTGCATCGGGACACTTTTGAATGCGATCCGGTCATTTCCTCCATTAACATTGCAGCGTTGCCAAATTTTAAAGTTTAAAAATATTCGACTTAGCGGCAGAAGTTTTTTGACTGCCCGCGTAAAATTTTTTGATCTGGGTAGTGCGTTATCAGGTTTCTTATACTAATAACTAAGATAAACCGTATCGGTGGTATTATTCCACAAATACAAAACGATTTGACGTTATGTAAACAATTGTAATATATAGCCATAACATTCGATAAAATGTAGCGCCCGGCGTATCAGAGAAAGTCATGAGAAAGTCAATAAAAATCTTTTCCTCCCAAAAAATACCCAGAAATTATTCAAAAGGTTTCTGTTGGGTATTTTATGGTCTGAAGCGAGAGGGCTTAATTTAGTAAAACGTAAAATCTTCTGTAAAATAGTTGAAAATATATACATTATTACGATCTACTAATGTTTTTATTTATAGTTATTTTAAGTTCTTGGTGAAAAACTACTTTGTGGCATGTTGCGGAAATTGAATATACATGATTTAGGAACATGAAATAAAAATTAGATTTGATTGTTTTTGAAATAAAAACATATTAAAATTTATCAAAATAGTGTAGTTTTTGTTTCTATAGTTAACGAGTTCCATAACAATGAAAAATTTTACTGTCGTAAGGGATCTTAATTTTTTATTATTTATTATACGACTTTTACAATATTTGTTTGATTCAATTAAAATACCCCACATGAACAATTTTGCGTTAATCACAAACATAAGTTTCTAATCAAATTTATGGAAATATACCATTTAAAATGGAAGTATAGTAAAGATAGAAAATAAAACAGATTTTGTAACAAATGGAGTGCACATTTAGCGTTCAGCTAACAAAAACTAAACAAAAGAAGAAAGGATCCAGCATCTTCATTCGAAATTGAGATTTTTTAATAATTTTTATTACAAAATTTTTGAGAAATCATGGTAATTTTATTTGAATACCCGGGAGAACAATAAATATCAATGCACTAATTGTTTCACAACTGTCATAAACAACACGGTGACTTGGTCTAAATTTATTGTCTTGAATCAATTGTGCAAAAAATTTATGGACATAATGCAAAATCATGCATTCGAAAGTTGCAGATTATCTGTGGTTTAGATATGCTTTATCGTCGTTCAAAGAAAAATACGATTAACGAGTGAAATTAGTGGCAAGATAACCCCGTACGAACCTATTCGGTTCGGATTTAATAGCTTTTCAAGTAGCAAATTGGCAGTACCGTATCGTGTCGTATGGTTGCGGGTTAAGAGTCTCCCCAATTTTTACTTCAGATTCGAGATAATTAGTGGTAAAGTAAACAATGCGAGCTGTTATCTACTTCTGTTTTCGGGTAAAGGTTGCGCTAGCCAATGCACTCCTGTAAATTTTTCGAGTTCTCCTCGCAAGTGCAGTGCTGACAATTTTGCAAAAAGGATTAAAGTTTCCTTACATAAAATGTTATCAGAAAATTACTGAACCAATGTATTGACTATTCTTTTTTTTTTCAAGTGCTAAAAATAATTTGATATAAGCACTAAACTGGTCCTTTTGTTGGCTTTCTAATATAGTAGGATCACAGAATTTTTATGTTCAGCATATTAATTTTATAAATATCGGTTTAGTTATTTTTTTTCAGTTGTTAAATATAATATCATCAGATAATTTGGCACCTAGTGGTGGGAAATATTTTTAAAGGCAGACTACGGCATGGTATAGTTACAACTATATAGCTAATAGATAATATACTGCTTCTACTACTTTAAAAATTGAGGCGCCGCATGCGTAGAGAAGGTTATACCTCCTCATTTCTCCTACTAACCTGTACTTTGCACCATTTTCTTTCTAACCGCGAAAATGGTTTTCATAGTTGCATTAGGCACAGTTGCACAGTTGCAGTTGCAGGGCCTGCAGTATCAATATGGTTACAATCGATATTGGATATATTGAGAACTGTATATAGCACACTGGCGGATAGGAAACCAAATTTTTATCAACCACTAGATATCTTTATTATAGTGCATGGCGCAATAACGAGCAACTTGGCTTAATTATTATGATTATTGTTACAAAAATTGCATCGTATTAAAAATGACTTTAATTAGTATAGTATCCACTAGCAGCTATTCCAAAAATTCGAACTTGCTTGAAAAAACAATATCAGATATCGTAGCCTAAAATTTCCTCATCTTGACGAATATACACTTCAGAACTTCAGTATAAATAACGAGGTGATTCTGAAATACAACACTTTTGTCAGATAACGAGTATTGTACAATTGCCCAAGTAAAACATGGAAGAAAACAACAAGCTTTACAGAGAAGAAGTAGTTTATCACAGCGTAGCCCCCGGAAATGTCACTCAGGTATTACGAAAAGAAGAACAAAACCAAATCACTTTAAGAGGTACGTAATCATTGTCATCTATTCATGTCTCCCACTATTGCACCCAATCGATATTCAGGAGACTTTATCAAAATTCTCCATTTAACGTCATTTCGTATAATATCGAAGGATTCAAAATGTGATAAAAGTGCATAAAAATTCAGACGAACGATAGACGTAGATAACCTTCGATTATTGAGAATCTTGAACAAGGCCATCAGTGCCAAAACAAATATATCTGTTTATCTAACTCAGAAAAAGTACATACTTCGAACAATTACTAACTTGGGGCAAAAATCATTGGGGACATTCAAAAAATTTGCATTTTTATATAAACATAAAATACAAAGATTATTCACGAAATGTTGCGGCATTATAGTGGAAAAATTCCCTTGGAGTGTTATTTTTTGAATTTTGCTTAACTTTCATAATTCATGAATAATATTCGGGGTATACCTTTTGACTTATTGACAAATTCAAACAAAAATAACTTTTCAAATAACATTTGTGCACGGTTTTCTGATACAGTTCTGAAGTTTCACTATTAGTTCGCCATTATGTCGCTTAAAAACTACTACACAGATCATTATTTTTTGTTAGCCTTAGATATATTCTTGTTTGGGTAGTTGACTTAAAAACCAATAGATTTTTAATGGCAAATAAAATAGATAAGGTGGTATCCGGTTTTCTTAACTTTATTTTTCGAAAAATTTGTTGTTAATAGTCCATGTATATCCTAACGTAATATTTGACACAAATTTTAAGATATGTCTCAGAAGAAGAAGTTGTAAAGAATAAATATATTTCTAAAGCTGCGTAATTTATCCAAGTAATTAAACAGTTCGCTCGTTTAGAAAATAAATTCCACATACAATGGTTTTACCGCGTGGCAAATTGGTACTAATCTTAGCGGTCAATTAAAATAATGGGTATGATTCTATGTACCGTCCAGAGAGTATGTCAAAATGTTTATCGCGGAAACTACAATTCAATTTCCCACCACTTGTCCAACGGGATCGATCGCCCTCGTTATTGTGAAGATCATTGACCTTGCAGCCAAAATTGACAGTCTAAATGCGAATGTCACAACTAACCAACTTGTTAATAATAATAATAACAATAGTATTAAGTATATAGTTTTCTTGAACACAGCCATTGCGGCTTGTCCAATAAACAAGTACTTTGACTGGAACCACTTCCATCCCCTCCATGATATAAACCACATTATGTTGGCGATTGCTGCCTGTTTTTGGGTATTTTTGAAAGTGTCTTTTACAATCCCTTTGGATATAATGTTTAGATATTTTAATTGTTCCGCATCATTAACGCAAGAGTTATTAATTGGTTTGCAGATCAGGGCACTCTCCGAATAGTGCATCGAGTACTATACGAATCTGATAAGCGGAATCTGATAAAAATAAAAACGTAGACTAATCAATTTGCCGATAATAATTTTCGACAGTAGTCCAAACACGTGCGTTTTCCGGCCATATAATTTTTGTGTACGGTCCTCTAGGCCCGAGTTTACGGAGAGATTGAGGAAATTTCAATCGTTTTTGGGCACTCTATATCGATTTTATCAAATTATATAGTTTAAACTTGATAGAAGTTCACATATACCAACAAAAATTGAAACATACATTATTATTAGTATAATAGTCAAACCAAGGTCGACTTGTGAAGTATTGTCGAGTGTACAGAGTGCCACATTTTCGACAGTTTTGTTGGTCATTTACCTTCAAGACTTTCAGTTTTTGAGATACAGGGCCTTGAAGAAAATGATGATTATGAGCCAAGGATTCAGTGCTATAAACCTTAATTCTTCGCTAATTTTAAAAAATATACAGGGTGTTTCCGGCATTCGCAAAAAACTGAAAATGGAGTTCCTCTTTTAATTAAGATTGGGTAAATTCAGTAGCCAATTTCTTTTACACCATGATATAGCCCGTACAGACAGCTCTTTGAAAATAGTGCAGAATAAGTATACGAGCTCAGCTCAAAAATTTATTAGATCCTACCTTGTTTTGTTTGTTTATTTTTTTACCATATTATTCAAATTGATAGACTGTATTCTTATGTCAATTCGTCTTCAAATTTGACTAAAGATTTGTTCGGATTTGATTGCGACTTATGATATCCCCAACATGTTCCAGAATGTAGGTATATCTTTTTCAATTTTTTGGGACATCAGTACATTGCAAAAAAGTAATGATGTGATGATGAACTTTAATATTTCTGAATTCATTGCATTGGCAATTGCAGTGATATTTAGTGGCACTGCTTGTGTCAATTTAGTGTACACAGATAAGCCCTAAAAAATTAATTAAATTAAATTTTCATTTAAATATTAAAGTTTTCATATTCCGTGATTTCTAAAAAAAATGATTGGAAGTTTCCAATCACATTCCTGGATTGCCATACGTTCGTGCCACGAGAAATACATCTAATGCATTAAAAAAAGGTATATTTGACCTCTCGCTACATACGACTATAGCGTGCGTTAATAATTTGTGTACAATATACCGACGGCGCGTTGTACGAAACAAACTTTCACCGCGAGCAATACCAAATCTCGATAGAAAATTTTACGCGATATAGACAGTAATTGTGTACCTAACCTTATCGCGCCCACAAACTCATTAAACGCTTGCCGCGTAAGCACAATATGTTTAACTTAAATCGGGGAAAATATTTAATATTTCGTGAGGTTTGGGGTTCCGTGTGTTCAACAACGTATCGGAAGATCAATTGAGCATGTTTAGAAGAGCTTATATACGTTACAAACCCCTCGGAGATACCTGTAAGGTGCTACAGAGAAAACATCCCAGTGTTATTTATTTGCATCTAAAGGCTGAATTAAATAATTGTTATTTATTTTCAGTACCGACGCTTGGGGTCCGCCACTGCCAAGCATTTCTCAACAGCTTATTGGTGTTCCTTGCGTATGGAGTACGGGTAACACTATCCGTGGCCATAGTGGCCATGACGGATCCGTTTGCAAGTAGCAACCCTAATGTGCGGGTAAGTTGAAGTTGAAATTCGATGTTGGAACGGATTTGAGGTTACTATTGAAAATTATTAAACAGATTATTGGTTAGTATTGGTAAATGCGTGACTGGAAATTGTTTCGGTTGACGCATAATATCTATTTTGTTGTTTGGCCATCGAAAAATTGTAAAAAACTTCCATCTTTATTTAAATAAATAATAATAAGCAAATTAGCAAAACTTTGGCCAATCTATTACACGCGCGTTTCACGTCAATATCATATTATCAACATATCCAGTTTTTTTCTTAATTGCAATATGTCATGCAAAATACCTATATCAACGTGATATACAATTTAATGATAAACGATGTGAAAATCATTATTTCCTATTATTTATTACCATATAAATTATTATTGAACAATAAACTTAGTATTATTAACATTACATTTTTTATTCTAATGAAGCATCCTTAAGCAACTCCTCTGTCACATTAATTTCATTCACTAAAGTCGTCTTTCTATTGTTCTATATTATATATTTTATCAATATCGGAATTCCGGAAATAAAAACATCAAATAAATTCCATTCGAAGTTAAAGATTTAAAATTTTCAAAATATACAACGTTAATTTGATTTTCTTAAATAAGAATTAAATTTATTTTGGTATCCTATAAGGCTACTGCAGGCAATTTTAATTGATCATTGATAAATAAAACAAAAAAAAGAAACAATTTTTGAAAAATGAGTTTCTTTCATATATCTTCTACACAGCTCGGATTCTTTGTCCTCAACTTCCTCAAATTTTTAAACCCCATATTACTCTAAATTAACAGAGCCCGTAGGTTACGCCATATATATTTGTGTCATTTGGAACGCATTTTTTATCATATTATATTTGCTACTAATTATAATCTATTGTGTTTTCATTGCAGACTTATCCAGAATGGACGGACAAAAGCGTAGTACTGTCAGCATTTTTCTGGGGCTACGTCATCCCGCAAATATTCGCCGGATGGCTAGCCGGCCAGTACGGCCCAAAATGGTTTTTAATAGGTTCTATGGGGCTATGTTCTCTAATGAGCATTTTAATCCCATCTATGGCCGAGCTGATGGGCTCCAAAGGAGTCATGGCCGGAAGGGTCATTCAAGGTTTCAGTCAGGGATTCTTCTTTCCATCGGTTCACCACGTCATCAGTCAGTGGGTGCCTCCCGACGAGAGATCTCGAATGGGTACCATTATATATGCAGGTAACAAATACTATTAAGGAAAGATTTTTGAATTTCTTATAAACTCGAGTTATTTAAGAAAAATGTGTAACATTGCATTTAAAAACTAACAGTTAACGCCATTTTTGTGATCTAGCTGGTCCATTGGGTACCGTGATTTCCATGTTAGTTTCCGGAGCGATATCCGCCAGTAGTCTAGGTTGGCCCTGGGTGTTCTATATCTACGGCGTCGCAGGATTGGTTTGGTGCGTCCTCAGCTTCATTTTCAGTGCGAATAGTCCAGCCGTTCATCCAAATATAAGCGACGCCGAAAAGTTTTACATCGAAAACAGTTTGGGACACGCTGATGAAAAACCGGTGATACATTTAAAAGCTGTTTTAATTATTCAGGTGGTTTTAACCAGGTTTACCAATTTCCAGAGACACAAGACTCCGTGGAAAGCAATTTTGAAATCCGCTCCAGTCTGGGCGATAGTTATAACTCAGACGGGACAAAATTTGGGCTTTTGGACCCTAATGACAGAGATTCCAAACTATATGAGTCACGTTATGAGTTTTGACATCAAATCGGTAAGCTTTTGCACGGTATGGCGATTGGAAACAAAATGATTTACTAATGCCGCGTTCTAGAATAGCATATTGTCCGCCCTACCGTACTTTGTACTGTGGATTTTGAGTTTCATCATGTGTTTTGCGTCAGATTGGCTGGTGAACAGAGGACTTCTGAGTAGAGGGGCTACGAGGAAGTTGTTCAATACAATAGGTAAAGAATATCACTCCCAGACAGAGTATTTTCTAAAAATAGATATTTTGAGAGGGGTGCAAGCAATAGGTGGGAAATTAATGAATAGAAACACAACTAGTGTGGTCTTCATCATTTATTCCTCCACTGTTCTTTCTTCCTCTTTCTGCTTCACAAATAGTACCAATAAGAATTCGCAAATGGACAGGTTTAGTTTTGCTTCCTAGGTTTGGTAATACCCGCAATAGCATTGATCTTCTTGGGCTATACCCCTACGGACCAGCCCAAGAGAGCAGTGGCGTTTCTGGTAATCGCAGTGGGATTCAATTCGGGAGTTTACTGCGGATACAACGTCAACCATGTTGATCTCTCTCCTAACCACGCGAGCACGCTTATGGGCATCAGCAACGGGCTATCCAATATATCCGGCATATTGGCCCCCTTGCTTGTCCAGTTTCTAGTCACCGACGAGGTCTGGATATACAAAGAATTCATTCCGCATTGAGGATACTAAAAGGGGCTCTTTTCAGACTGATCCAGATCAATGGAAGATAATATTCTTCGTGACTTCGGGTGTCTACGTGATAGCCGATATAGTATTTATAATATTTGGTTCCGGAGACATACAAACTTGGAACGAAGACCCCAAAGAAGGTACCGCTCGATTAGAGAGTTTTTGGAAATCAACAATAACCTAACAGTGCATATTTTTCTAGAGAAAGGTGCAAAATCTCCTTAGTCTTCGGGTCAGCAAGTGGTCGAATATAAACTCACTGTGATAATACATTCCCAAAACTACCATCGAAGTTAAATTGGGTTTTCTGTTAAGAATAACTCCTAGGCTGAGTGTTTTTCTCAGCAGTATGTCGCCAACTCCACCGTGTGGGGATAGACTACTTTTTCAATGTAACTAAATCACGAAAACAATGTTTTTGTGAGGCTATTTTTTTGAAATATTTATAATAAACAACGCTTATTTGCCTTTTTATTAATAATAATGTATATAGCAGAAATATACACAGTTTACACGAAACACTTGTCATTTATGGTGGCCCATTTTTGAGAAAAAAGTCACCAATTATTTTGTAATAACCAATCTATATAAGCGACTGTAGATAAATATTTGAGAAACAGATGATGATTTGGAAGTCGTAGAAAATATATTTGTTTGCTTTACCAGCATGGAGGAAATCCTGAGCAAAATAATTGTTGCCATGCTATATTCGAATTCGGATCTGTTTCTATGATGCAATTGTTCAACTATTAAATATTAGTTACTGTTAAAATATTCAACGAAATTTCCAATGGCATATACTTAATAAAACAATGTTCTCGAATCAAAATCTTATTATTTATCCTGTCGATTGTAGCGATTACATAATATTATCAATCCGACAATCTTCAAACGGCTTTCAAGATGCAAATTATATTCGTCAGATCATTTGCTATGCTACTTGCCAAATTTTGATTGGTTTTGGAATACTATGATACTCTTGCTAATGCGTGTGATTATTCAGTTTTACCTCATCTGTATTATTAATTTACTAAGCATTAATTTAAAATTCCAAGTGTAGTAGTGTAGTAAGAAAATAGTAAATAATTCCTAAGAAAATAGTTGCCATTTACGAACTTTCATTTGGTATAAAATAACTCTTTAAGGAATACGGAAAGGAAGGAATAAGGAAATTTGCATTGTGCTCGATTTACATTATAAATCCGTTCGTTTTTCGTTTATCTAAAAGTACACTCGACGATTACATACTCATCGTTGTATAAATGGCGAAGAGTAACACAAATTAATAATTAATGTCTACTAAGTAACGAAATTATCAGCGGACACTTATAAATTGATCGATAACGCAGTTGGGAATCTTTCGAATGGATTCATTCGACAGAGAGCTGATGTGTTAAGAAGCTAATAATATATTATATGGCCGAAAAAGACTGTAGAAAGAAAATGTCTGACAAAATACAACCACAGGAACACGGATCTCAAAGAGTTAGACATGCAAGCGTCCATTATCACGAAAGTAAAGGTAAACAAAACTATTTCTCTTTCTCTAAGATCCTAGGAAAAATTACAGCAAATATTATTTCGAAAAAAAAAATACAAATACATTTGAAACCATTTGAAGTGATCTCATAAAATTAGAAAACTTAAATTTTGCTTTCTCCTACTACTTTTGGATTCATTCAACAATTTTTTTTTTAAACTTAAGCTTTAAATTTTATGCACCAACGCAAAAAGTCGATTCTCAAGTTGTTACTGTCTATTTTCTTCAGAATATATATGTCATAGTGCCTCAATATGAACGAATCTTAAAACTAAAAATAAAAATTATTAAAATGTCATTAAACTACAAATTCGATTATTAATTGCGTTTTTTATTTTCATTCGTTTCAAACGTTCCAGTAATAAGAATAAGAAGAAATGTGCCATTTTTAGCTACACATTCCTCCATTCCGTTTTAGGCCCACGAATCGGAGCAAGACATGTCATGACTTTGCTAATCGCCATTGGTATGACAATTGGATTTGGAATGAGAACCGGCTTTTCAGTAGCTATTGTTGCTATGACCGACAACACAACCACCTCGGGCGCGAAGGTAAACTAATTAGCTAGCTATTTTATTTAAATACATTTTGAAATATTTGAATTTTTAATTTTAAAATTCCTAAACGACGTTTGAAGCTTTATTCTTAAAGTCTGTAATTTGTCGATGCTAATAATTCCAGTATATTATTTTTTTCTATACAAAAAATACGTTATTGGTAGCACTTGTATACTTATACAAAAAAATCATATTATTATCATAAAACTCAATTTTTACTTGTCCAAAAAGAGAAAAGCGAAAATAAAGCATTTTTTCTAATTTGACTACGCCGCTGGAAAATAAATTAAAAAGTATTTAATTTATCTTTTGAGGTAGAAAACTCGGTGAAACTAAACTAAAAATAGCACAAATAAAATTTCCCTTGCGTTTTCGACATAGAGAGCATTTTTCAAAATTTGACATTTTAATGCACCCCCTGTATATTTTCCATTTACTTATCTTATCGAACAGATCGGATCTACTACGTAGAATCTCAAAATTTAGCATTTCCTTAATTTGGCGACTTCTAATCTAATAAAAACATAAAAGCAAATAATATATAAAAACATATGCTGTTTGTAATTATTTTACAAAAGAAGCCCATGCACTACATACCATTAACTTACGTTATTATTTAAAATACGTTAGTAATGGAAACCAGGAAACCAGGAACCATTTTACAATAATTTTCATAGTTGTAACTCTACTTACTTCCTATTTACAGCGTTGTCAGATTTTTATTTTTTCCCTAATTTACGTCAAATTGTTGTTTCTGTTTTCTATTTTTTTGAATTTATAAAGTTATTCACAGATTGTTTAAACTACTTACCTGTTTGAAGCAGCTTATTTTCATTAAGTGAGCATCTGATTTTGTGTCCCGTAGAAGTGTCTTAATTGAAAAATATGTTGATCAGATTTACGACTGGAACAACACCAGCGTGATACTGTCGTCTTTCTTGTGGGGTTACCTGTGGTTCCAAGTGCTAGCGGGATACCTGGGGAAGAAATACGGCTCAAAATATTTCCTAGCAGTCACATTTTTCTTAAACACGGTGGCGTTCACAATGATACCGTTTGCAGCTGACTGGTTAGGATCTGCAGGTGTTATAATCTGCAGAATCATACAAGGACTGACCCAGTCATTCCTGTTCCCATCTGCACATAATTTGTTGGGTAGGTGGGCACCAGCTGAAGAAAGAACTTTTTTGGCTGCCATAGTTTACGCGGGTAAGGCGCAAATACTTGTTAATGTATTTAATAAAACTTTATTGCTGAATTTTAGGAGTATCATTGGGTACTATAATAGCGTCGATTTTAATTGGATATACAGCTTCGTCCGCTGTGGGGTGGCCCATATATTTTTACGTATTCGGCGGTATGGGGGCGGTTTGGTGCGTTGTTTGGTTAATATTCGCACACAGTAGTCCCAGCGAGTACCCGAATATCACATTCGAGGAAAAGAAATATATAGAAGTATCCTTGGGGCAGTATAAACAGACACAGGTATAGTTCGGTCGACGATATACCGTTTTTACGAAATAATCCGGTATTTAGCTTTGTTAAATTATTATGAAGTTCTAACCGCAAGCCTACCTCGGTTGAGTTTTTCTTTGTAACTTTCAATAAATAGAGTCGCAATTCAACAATGACGTTCGTCGGGACTTCGTACATACAAAGCTGAAGCTGACGGATTTGTGTAGAGTGTCACGAGAGTGCTCGATTATTATTAGTTCTTACTTTAAAATATTCATTACAAACATAAATGAAGTAGTAAATTTAGCTATAAAATAATGTTATAAAAAAAAAGTTATTCTGCATCAACATAATCACTATCGTCCGTGGACTCGTCCCCCACATTAATAATTAATTTTGGTAATAACATAACATTTTTTCCAACTAGAAGCAGATATTTTTTCAACTTCACTTCTAATTAATTCTATTGCCCCAGAACTAAATTTTGGCGAGGTTTAGTTGTTTCTTCTTAAACTGGGTTTCAGCTATCCCTATATCAATTCATCATCAATGATTATTACGTCCTCGACCACAATCTCAACTTTTTCGTCGCTGGACATCACAACATGACTAACTAAATTGAATATTGTTAGTATTTTTAAAAATGGCACACTGGGTCTTTAGAAACAATTGAATAACAGTAAGTTGGTAATTACTAATTACAAACACAAGACTTATTAAAAGTAGCTTCAAAGCTTCGGCAGCTAAGAAAATAATATTTCATAAAAGTGACAGCATACTCGATTTCACCAAGCCCCACAAATCACCCAAAAGCAAACTGGGAAAACATCCATTATAAACCAATTATCTACATAAGATTTAGTATTGCTTTCCTAAGAAAATATTTTTAATATAGAAGATCAACCAGTCTAATGGACAAATTCAACTTGAAATTGAGCTACCTCAAGTTGGCACTGTTTTAGGAAGATTGATAAAAAGCACACTAATATAAATTAATATATCAGTTTAATCACAGAAAGTTTCCATACTCTTAAAATACACTTCTTGTCGGCTAACATCTTAAATACGGTCCTGGCTTCCGTCTGACAGGCGGCTCTTAATCGAAGTCAAAACCACAAAAAGGTTGAAAAACGGTATATCGTTCGGTGGACTTTATGCATCATCCAAAATTAAATCCGTCGCAAGTAATCATCCAGGAAACCAGCCCTGTTGCCAAGTTATGACGAAAATGTGAAAATCTATTCCTTTTTAACAATAGGTTGTGTTATTAGATGAATAACACAGTATATGAATATGAAAATATACATTCATGTTTTTTCTTATTTTATTTATGTATCAGGCATTATTAATTGATGCCATAACCATAACCTATGCTGAAGAAAGGCAGTGTGAAGAATTGGAATGCACAATAAACCATTTTTAATTGAAGTCATAAATTATATTAAGTAAAACATAAGTAAATATATGCTTCTTTTATTTAATTATCAGCATAACTTGAAGTCATAATTTAAATTAACCAAAATATAAATATATATGTGTCCTTTATTTATTTAGCAGCTTAACAGGAATTGGATAAAAGTATTGTGTGTGTTGTTAAGAGCTGATTAAAACCCACTACTTTGCAATTTGCAAAGTTTTTGGACTCAAATGCGTAGAAGACCTTACATTTGAATGACGTACAACCTATTTAGTTTTGGACATAGCATAAAATAGCTTCTATCAGTCATACACGAACAGAGGTGATAGTTGTGTTTTTCTGGCAATGATTTTAGAAAATTCCAACTCCTTGGTTGAAAATTTTCACCAACATCCATTTCTACGCGGTCGTTTTAGCGTACACTGGAACCGCTTGGGGTTATGCATTGGCAATGACAGAGACACCCACGTATTTGAGATACGCGATGAAGTTTGATATTGAATCGGTAAGCAATTATTTGTTATTAGAGCCTATGAACTCATCATTGAGATATCCCGAATGGTAAATGAACTATGAAGGAAATTTAAAGGAATTCTTACGAATTACTGCGAAATGCGACTTTTTTAATTCTTTATGAGAAATTTAACAGAAAATTTCAATACGTTCCCAGCCTATCCTTGAAATCAATAAAAATCGCAACTTTCATATAACGTGAACACTGAAAACGGACTACCTCGTGCATATTTTCTTAAAAAACTGCTTCGATTCAAGCGAATGAAACAAATATACGGACACAATGAGAAAAGTTGCACAGAGTGGCAAATACAGAGACAAAAGAATTTGTTAAACAGGTTTTACAAGGTAATTTTCTGTGCAATATTATCATCGAGAGTCCCAAAAGTACATTCAGAAATTAACGCCATGATTGTTTCCAAATTCTTTATTTTCATTTGTTTTAGAGCGGATTAACTAACGCCTTGCCAACAATCGGATGCATGGCGAGCGTTTTCCTCTGTGGCGTCCTATCGGACTATTTAATGAACAAAAGGATACTATCAAGGGTTAACACAAGAAGAGTACTCCAACTAGGCGGTAAGAAATTACAAGAAATACTCCTGTTTATATTGGGCAACAGAACAAGAAGTAGTTTAACGCTTTCAAGCATAGTGATCCCACTGATAAGCTTGTATCATAGGGGTTTTTAACGTTAATCGATACTTATTTTGGTGCCATCAGTTTTCGAATAACTCTACTAACAACAATAACACGCTGGATAACACGCAATATTACAGCCTCACTACAATTTGTGGTATTTTTTCATTTGTTGTGTTGAAACATTCGGTAAGTAATATGTTATTTTATTTATTTGGACTGTTATAATTATGGGAAAAAGATAAAAAATGTTTTTGTCCGATTGACTCTACTTGGGCCAGTCTTGTAGTTGCCTAAAAATTAAAATTGCCCAGATAAGAAATCTCGGAAATAGTGACATAGGCTATTTTGGCTAGTCACTTGGTGTCACTGTGAATAAATTTTTTTCGACTGAGAATAATTTCTACAAAAAACGCACGGTAAAAAAATTCTAAAGACAATAGATATAAAGCGTATCTCCCTGATGAAATAGGAATAAGCAACGTCCACCACATGCCGGTTTATGGTGGATCTAGACGTTGTGCATGTTTTAGCAATGCATCTGAGCCAAAATGTACTAAACAGTCGTTCTATATTTATAATGTAGGTTGATATCTCAAATAAAAAAAGAAATGTTTTCTAGCATGTTATAGTAACTAATTTTAGCATATGTCCGTACAGATTATTTTTAGTTTAAAGATATCATTTTATGACATTACTGATTCACATGCACATTCACACATTCACATTTAATTTATTTAGACATATACGTTTTATTTATAATTTTTTCTTTCATTTGCTTGAAAAGGCTAAAGGACTACAGAAATAACTACGACTAATATGCATATTGTAATAAACAAATACTTAAATTGATCCTCATAACTGTACACTCAGAAAAAAATGGGTTTTGAAATGCACAAGAAATCACCTTGTAATAAATCAATTGTTGACAATTTAACTAATCAAGATATAACATTTTAGGTACTTTTGAAAATATTTTGTATTTATTTGTTTATAAATTATTAATTTAGTCACTTCGAAGCATCATGGATTTTCTTTTTTCCTATATTTAATGTATTGCTTTAAACGGAGTTATGTTTAAAAAAATTGATTACTTGCTGACTACAACTGACGTTCTCTTATAACAATAAGATGACAGCATTAGTCAAACTTGAACGTTTATATTTTAAGGGCTGTCGGTTGTTACTTCTGAAAGATTTATTTAACATTGTAAAAAGAAAAGAGGGTCTGCTGTCATGTGACTTTTAGCAGCCAATGGAACAACGCCATTAGCGTCGTCGGCACCTTCTCAGTAGTCCACTTCTCTTGTTAGGAAGTGACCGCTATTTGCATTTTCAGTATCTCCAAGTTTTTGTAAACATTTTCTTGTTGGTTTTAAAAATAGTTTTTTTTTAATTGGCGATAAGCAAACACGCAATATAGTATGTATATATCATATAAGGTCTGTATAAAATTAAGCAGTACAAAATAGTGCAATCAAGAAGGGGTGAAAAATCACAATAAAATATTCTTTATAATTTACTTCCATTTTATTACTAAAACCTTAGTAATAGTAGGATTGAAAAAAACCTGTTCGTTTTATTTTAAATAAGATATTATTAATTCAAAGCAAATTAAATTGCAATAAAAATATTTTGTTTTACGGGTATAAGAAACCCTGTTACATTAATATTTTATGTGCCTGAAATTAAGAAATTGAACTTTATAGACTAAGGATAGTGTTAAGAGAGAAAATGGACTATCCTTAAAATTCATAATGATCGCCTCTTTGTTTTAAATGTATAATTTGTTTAAATGGTAATTTAAATATTTAAAATAATATTTTGTGATGCTTATTTTATGATCTGTTAATTATATTTGAATGGTTTCCTTTCCAATCCAAATGCAGTCAATGCTTTTGTTCTAATAAGAATAAGTAATCAAAATTTTCATTAAAATTGTCCGCAAATGTGGTACAATTAACCATCCCCCGTCAGAAATATAAAATCACTCCTTAAATTATTCGATATTATACATATCAGTTTTACATATATTTTATATTCAACACTGCGAAACAAAGTTAACTTAAACGCCATCCATCTCCACCGACAACAGAACAGAACGTTTTTTTTCTTTTTCCAATTTTACAATCCTTTGGTTAGGTTACAGCTACTGTGATGTTCACATTTAATAACTATGAGGAAAGCATTACATATTTACTCTTTAAAAAACAACAAAAACTATTTTCATTCCCTTCTATTCTTCTGATTTTACCCCTCTTGCGCCTAACGTAGCGTTTAATTCATTCAACCACATTGACAGAACAGAAGAATCTACTTATTATTATTTATTATTATTATTATTATTATTATACATTGAAAAAGTTCTTGGTTTTGGCTTTAGGTTGTTACGGAATCGCCTTGTGTCTAGTAGGTATGAGTTTCGTGACGGCGGACCACGCCTATATATCAGTAATTCTGCTGGTATTCATTAATATATTCATGGGATCGCTTCAAAATGGTGCCGTGGTAAATCTGATGGACTTGTCGCCGCGATTCTCTGGAATCATGATGGGTTTCACTAATATGGTCGGTCAAGGAATCGCCATTCTCTCCCCAATCTTAGTACAATTTGTGGTGACGGATCAAGTAAACCAGTGTACCATCTTCCACCTAATTGTATTGCAATTTGGATTTTTTTAGAGCAACCTGGCTCAATGGAGGACGGTATTCCTAATTTCAGCCGGCACGTATGTCGTTTCTGCGACCATGTATGGAATATTCGCTTCAGGCGAACGACAGTTGTGGGACGGTCCAAAAGATCCTATCATAGAGAGGCTAAAGAAAGGGTCTATAATAAGTTTAACTTCGAATTAGTGAGAAGATCTGACCGTTACTTGCTTTGTCTTCAAACGTGATAATAAATTATTTTTACTACAACCTTGCCTTTAATATTGCCATAGCTGATTCATCAACTTAGATTGGAAACTGAAACCTGAAAATCCTTAAATAAAGAAAAGGAAAGTACTGAAAAGGATGACCAAATGAACAATCTTGTGTTGTAGCAATCCTTCTTGTGGACCAATGCCACAAGTAACTACCTACTTTTTGATTTTTTGGATAATATTAGTCAAGTTCTCCACTGCTCCTTTCTGACAATATAAGGCTTAATTCCAACGATCAGTCTAAGACTGAACATGTTAAATTCTACAGGCGTGAAAAATACAATAATGCATTTGTTGAAAGATTACAGATAAGAACTTGTTTTATCGGTATTTTGAACAACGTCAATGCGACAAAGATGTTTGATAAGTTCAAAATTATGACGGCGGCATCTTCATTGTCGCTGAGCTGGTCCACGGAAAGAGATGATAAACTAAAATTCGAAAAACTATAGTAAAAATGACGGTAGTATTATTTGCTGGTTTGCGTTAACATAAGCCCAGTGACACGTCGATTATTCCTTTTTCTAAAGAAATGTAAAGGTTTTTTTCAATTTATCATTTGTAGATTTTGTGATAGATAATCATGTATGAATAAGCGTAGATAATGATTTCGGAATTTGCCACTCCAAGTTGCGTCAATTTCACATGCGAAAAGGCCTGTAGAGTAAAGATAACAAGCTGCGAGTAAACATGTTTTGTGCGTTACGGTTGAAATAATTGAGAGAACCAATTCCCTCTCATTGGCCATCGTCTAAGTTTCTCGAGCCCATTGCTTTGCGAACTCCCTCATGCCATGTTCTTTTTGGACGCCCTCTTTTTTTTTGGGTGGCGTGGTATCCAATTCATTTTTTGTTTAGGTAATCTGTAGTCGTTCATACGGTGTACGTGGCCGTACCAGATCATTTGTTTCCATTCGAGTTATGATTGTATCTTGAAGTCCCATTTGTTGGACAATACTTTCATTGCTAACTCTTTCTTGTTCTTGATAATCTTGTTGATCTTCTAAGTGCATCTATTTCAGTTGATTCTGTTAATCTTTTATGTTTTTCTGTCATTCTCCAAGTTTCTGAACCATACATTAAGTTAATTTTAATTAGAGTGTTATATATATTGTATTTCCTACGTTTCGATATATTTTTACTCCAGAGGATTCCGCTCAGACAGTTAATTACCTTTCGTGACTGTATCATTCTTGCTGTTATTTCTTTGTCATTTGAACCCGTTTTGTCAAATGCAACCCCTAGCTACTCTTTACAGGCTTCTATGCCTTCTGAGTTTTCCAATTGTAGGTTACCACTTTCCCTTCCTATGCATAGATATTTCGTTTTTCCACCATTCATAGTGAGTCCCCAATCTTCATAGGTTTCTATTAGGTTGCGTACCATTTATCTCCCTGCTATTACTGCCTGATCGTCTGCAAACTGTTAAATACTGTTCTATCTGTTAGGGATATTCCCATTAAGGAACACTTTTATTTCCATTTTAGTGAGGCTACTTAAACATTTTAAAAAGCGCAGCACTCTCAGCGAAGCCCCTTTGTTACGCAGAAATCTCTGGACAGTTTAAGTGGATTTATTATAAAGGTTTTTGAAAGCAATTATTAGAGTTTGATTAAAGGAGGTACCTTGCAATACTTCCCAGAGCCTACTAGTTGATATGTTATCATAAGCTTTCGAGAGGTCAATGAATAAGATATGCGTTTCGCAATTAACTGCGGACCTTTTCTCTATTATCTGCTTCATGCAGAATAAGTTGTCCGTGTAAAATCTTCCGGCTCTAAATCTACCTTGCTCTTCTTCTATGAACACTGCCTCTATTAGAGCTCTTAATATCCTTCCACATAATATGCTAATTGAACTTGTAACTGATAACCCCCTGTAATTTTGACACTCCGCTGTGTGGCCTTTTTTGTAGAAATACTTTCCTTTGACCAGGAACTTCCTGACTATTCAGGCACTTGTTAAAGCTCCATATTAACGCTGTCATTAGTTTCGCAGTGCCGCTTTTTAATAATTCTGAGTATATTCCCTCTGGTCCACATGACTTTCCATTTTTCAGTTTGGTATCCGCTCTGCTTACTGTTTCTTCTTCTATTTTTACGTGTTCTGTTTCAATATTAACTAGCATCTCCGAGATCTGATCCATTTCCTTGGCGTTTTGTTTCGGTTAACAATATTATGTCTATTTTTAGTTTGTCGACTTCTGACACGTTCCATGTATCCCAAATCATATTCCATTCCTTAGTATTATTTCGTTTTCCATTTAATGCGCCCGAGATTCCGAGACATCGCCCAGATTTTTCGTAATTTGTAATTTTCCTAGTGATAAAGGACCAGTCCATCGCACCAACCCCGAACCTGGAGGACCAGGTAATTTGTGATCAGAGTTGTCTTCTCCTAGCCTTTAATAAGCCAACATCGATAACTACAACCTAAATAATTGTTATTTTTTAGATTTAAATATTTGTTACCATTTACAAACATTATTAAAAATTAACTTCACCTTACAAAATGTTGTGTGTTATATTCTAAATATTTTAATTACGTAAGAGAATCGAATTATTTACTTTTTTGTTTATAGTTTACTGATTACATATTATCAATTCGACAATCTTCAAACCGCTTTCAAGTTGCAATTGAGTATATCAGATTATTTACTTTGTTACCGGCGGAATTTTGAGAGAATGGTTTGCCAGAAGTCAGAAGATAAGAAATGTCAACGGACAATTGCGTATTTTTTAGATCCAATAATCGACCAATGTCAAACTGATAAAGCACCAAAACAACAGTAATGGTATAAAAAACAGAAATAGTAAAATATTTCGCTGTTATTTTCCTTCAAGCGTTCTTTATTTTCTCTGCTCACTTCTTTCTTTCTTTCCTTTCGTTCAGTACTTTTAACACCTGCCTTCTTTTTCTTTCATTTCGGTCCACACTTTCTCTTATCTTCTTCTGACCAATACATTTTTGTTCACCACCGTACTATTGAAAACCATCATTCCATTTTCGCGATTTTGTTCGCTTTTTTGCTTGATTTCATTTGTAAATTTCGACCTTGAATCAATACGCATATTGAGGACCATTATACCGTTTTTTTTTGTTTTAAAGAAATTTTTTTTAAAAAAACAAAGTTTTCATGTAATGTAATTATTTAAAAAATGATAACAAAAAACACTTCCTGTCGATACCTGATTCGATTCACTTGTCCTCAAAGGGCAGATAATAACAAATTTGGAAATTTGTCTATCCTAAAAACATTCTAAATATGTCAACGATTTTTCAGAAAGTAGTTGCTGCCTAGCAGCATACTGTCGGTGGTGAACGAATATTTTTTTTGTAAAGGTGCCTTGAAATCCATAACATTCGTTTCAGTTTATCTATAAGTGGACTCGACAAATATTTAACAACGATGACGAGTAACATAGATCGATAATTAGAACACTAACGTAACAATAATTATCAGTGGACACTTATAAATTGATCGATACTGCAGTTTTGAATCTTTGAATAGATTCAGTCAGCAGAGAACCAATTTTTTAAAAAGCTGGTAACAAAGTAACTGCGGGAAGAAAATGTCTGACAAACATGAACCGCATGAACACCGGCCTGAAAAAGTTAGGCATGCGAGCGTTTACTATCAGGAAAGCAAAGGTAAAATATTTCCTTCAACGATATATAAAGAATGTAGAATAATGAATATAATAATATATCAGCTATATTATATCCCTTTAAGAATTTTGAAAACTGATGTATTCCTTTTTTATGGCTTTTTAAAATTGTTACTGCAATATCTTTTTTAGCAAGTTTCTTATTAATTTATTATTATTACCAGAAATAATTGAAAAAGTCGATTTTCAAACAGGATTGGATTTTCTTATAAGCGTCATTAATAAAGTTTGTTACAAAAATTTAAATAATATAATGGAATAACAGAAAACGGAATTTTTAATTCAACTTGAGGTATTTTTTGTAAAAGTATTTGTGATGAAAAACTTCGTTCTTTGTGTCGTCTAATGTGATCTGCATTACGTGTATGAAATTCCCTTCTAGAAAGTTCTGCTAATTTAATTTAAAAGGTACAAATTTCAGGTTTTTATTAGAAAACGTTTTTTGTTTTTCAAGAAAAATTTTAAAATTGCTACTCTGTAATTCTGGCGGGTTAAACCCTCATTTTAGGGCCAGCAATCGAAGCACGACATGTGACAATTGTCTTAATCTTCATTGGCATGACAATTGGAATCGGAATGAGAACCGGCTTATCCATAGCCATTGTTGCTATGACCGACAAAACAGCCAGCTCAAATTCAGACGTAAAGGTAAACGAATTCGTTCAGAATATAGTTACTTACATTAACTGAAAAACTTTTGAATCAAATCACATTTTAAGAAATATTATTGAATTCGTTGTTGTTATCACTTGTTTTTTATAACTAGCAAACGGGGACTATACCAAATAGGAAATTCTAGCACATGCAGTGTCGCGAGAACAATAAATCATGTTTATCAACAAACATTTTAAGGATATCTACACATACAAAAGAAGGTCCTTTGTATTCTCCAAGTTTCTCGAAAACCCGTCAACTACAGGCTACAAATCAAGGTCTTTGATTTTTGTAATCCGTGTTGGTAGATTTAAATCACGTATAGCAAAATTTAGCAACAAATATTTGCAAAATAAAAGATTATTATGTAGCCACATCTAATATTTTAAGTTACTATGTGTTTCTAATGGTTGTTTGACGGATTTAAGCTAAGATTTGTTTAAACTATTCACTTATCATTGCATTTATTTTTGCATTCAATATCAACATCCCTTGGCAGGCCACAAGATAATTTTTAACCAATCATCACTTTATGGTTTTACAGGTTTATGATTGGGACAACACAAGCATTATACTGTCGTCATTCTTCTGGGGTTACCTGTGGCTGCAAGTCTTGGCTGGATACCTGGGGAAGAAATACGGTGCAAAATATTTCCTCGCCGTCACATTTTTCCTAAACACCGTGGCATTCACAATGATACCGTTTGCCGCTGACTGGTTGGGATCTGCAGGCGTCATAATCTGCAGAGTCATACAAGGACTGATGCAAGGATTTCTATTCCCTTCGTCACATAATTTGCTGGGTAGGTGGGCACCAGCTGAAGAAAGAACTTTCTTGTCTGCCGTAGTTTATGCAGGTGAGTCATTAATACTAATTCGCATACACGGTCAGGTTATAAATTTGAATTTTAGGAGTATCCTTGGGTACTATAATAGCGTCGATTTTAATTGGATATACAGCTTCGTCGGCTGTGGGTTGGCCCTTATATTTCTACGTATTCGGCGGTCTGGGGGCGGCTTGGTGCGTCGTTTGGTTAATATTCGCCCACAGCAGCCCCGAACAACATCCAAGTATCACAATAGAGGAAAAGAAATACATAGAAGTGTCCCTCGGACAGCAGAAACAGACAGAGGTAAACTAGTTAGACCGTCAGGCTAGCAAATTTTGGATTTAACTAAGATGTCGCGATGATTTCAGAAAATTCCCACTCCCTGGGTGAAAATTTTCACCAATATTCATTTCTGGGCGGTCGTTTTCGCTTACACGGGAACTGTTTGGGGTTATGCATTGACGATGACAGAGACACCCACATATTTGAGATACGCAATGGAATTTGACATTCAATCGGTAAGTAGTTTTTTATTTTGATCCTGTATACAGAGTAGCCACATCCAAAGTGGTTCGAAAAATAAAGTCCCTTTTACATTACAGTATACAGGAACCAGTATATTCATATATCTAAGGGACAATAATGCTTCTGTCCTATTAATATCATTAATGACCTATTAGACGTTTATGTAGAATGACTAAAACGATGGTTACATGCGGTGTTGCCAGATTTACTTGTAACGCATATCAACTTTCGTTTCGCCATACCTATCTTGAACATTTTCTGAGATAAAAAATACTTTTTAAAAAATTTAACAACAAAAAACCGATATAAAATAATAATTTGCGCAAGTACAGCTAAACTCTTGCATTTTTGATTGCGCTTGTCAATTAAACTGCTTTATCATAATATAGTATGAGAATCAACTTATCGCGTACAGAGCGTTCGTAAGATAAGGCCCAATTAGCAAGATATAAAAATCCATGTTACGTGGGAAGTTTTAATAGAACATACCATATTTTATATTGGCACGTAAATCAGCAATTAATTTGCCATCTACAAGCACCAAACTATGGTACATCTGTTTTACTGATTTTCGAGTTATAAGCAAAAACCCAAAACATTGCAATTAAAGCGAATTAAAGTAATCACATTTCATCTGTGTAGCAATCTCCAGCCAGCCATGGTGTCGTTTTTTGTAAACAAATTTCCCTTTGACATAAATTAGCTTAGCGCGTTCAAATGAGTAATTGTAAACTGGAAGGACATGCATGCCAACAAAATATTCATAGAAACCGTTATACACAAAATTATTGTTAAAGACTACTAAACGGTTTTAATTTGTTTTTAATTACGTACAGCCCGATATTATGCTTGAATTGACTTCATAACATTGGAAACTGTTGCCCTTCTTTGAATTTCGTTTGAATTGATTTGTTGAAAAGCCTGCCTGACACGGCATTCCAAATCTTCTAATTGCAGTTTTATATACTCTTTCTTTAATATCTCCCCAAAGGTCGCAATTCCGTGGACCTAAACTCCTTATCCATGAGTTTTCAAACATGTACTGTAAGTTCTCGACTTACTCTATTTGTGCTATGAGCCTGAGCTCCGTCACGTTGGTACTGCGATGTAACCCTAATGGCAAATTGTCTACTGTCTATTGTCTATTTTATTATCCATCATCAAACAAAACACGTTAAAACTAAATGGATGTTGAAATCGCCTTTCCTGTATAAATTTTGGATTTTCTGATGACCAAAAATGATTATTCCTTCTGTTCAAAATACCCTCACGTGAAAATTAAAAAAATATGTATCATCTCACAAAACTCTACAAGTCAGGAAGACGAGATTGTAAAGTAATTATTTTCTAATTATGCATACTATGTTAATTCAATATCCAATGAATGGAGCAATAAGATATGACAAAATCGTATTTAATGTTCGGAATGGTTGGTTTCATTTTCTTCTGAGTTTGTAACAGGTTTAGGAGGTTGCGTTCTTTGTAGGTTTCGAAAATTTGGCTTTAATTTATTTAAACTGTCTCTCATACATTGAGACAATTGAAACAATTCTTTGACACTCACCATAAGTATAAAACAAATTCAAAATATCTGCGTTTGCATAATTATGTGCCATCTCGCTTTCTCAAATAAATGGCCGGTCAGAGCCTGATGCCCAGAGGAAATGTGATTACTTTAATTAGCTTTAATTGCAATATTTTGGCTTTTCGCTCATAACCTGAAAAAGTAAAAATAGATATACCATAGTTCGCTACTTATAGACGAAAAGTTAATTGCTCATTTTCAATATGGTGTGTTCAATTTAAAATTTCCACGTAACATGTGTTTTTATATCCTGAAAATACGGCTCTATCTTATGAACGCCCTATACGAGATAAGTTAAGTCTCGGACTATATTATAATAAAGGAATTTAATATAGAACTGCAACCAAAAATACAAGTGTTTCGCTGTACGAATTGTGAAAGAATGTATTATTTTATATCAGGTCGTTTGTTTGCCAAATTTCTTATCTCCGAAAATGGTTATGATTAAAATGTAATAATATACGGGGTTATTCATTTCAAAAACGAAAGTCGATGTACGTTTCGAGTATAATATAATACGTAGCTCATATTAGCTAACATAGGTAACCAATATTTCAGGTTTTTACCGCAAGTCACTCACCATTAACGTCTAATACGACACTCACCGTGAATAACCCTGTTTAGAGTGTAAATTCTCTTGTTTTTTCCTTCTTTCACACATTTATCGAAACTTCCACTTTGAAACACTTATTGGCCAGTGGATTTCCTCACCATTTTTTTACATCAAACGTAAGAAATAACAAATATTTAGAAAAGAAAGGAAAATAAACATGATCTCCGGGAGCCAGAAATTAGTCATTTTTACTCATTTTAGAACGGATTAACCAATGCTCTTCCAACAGTCGGAAACGTAGCCAGCGTTTTCCTATGTGGTGCCCTTTCAGACTACCTAATTAAGAAAAAGATACTATCAAGGGTGAATACAAGGAGATTATTCCAATTGAGCGGTGAGTAATAATTTATTGGAATTAGTAGTTAAGCAAGTTTTTTGATTCCCATTTGACACTCTTTATTTTTTATTTAAATTGAAAAGTTTGAAATTTTTCTCCACCCTCACCATTTTGAATCCGATGTTTTTTTTATTCCATTAAAACTTTGTTGTAACTCACACATATTTTATGATCTTGCGTCATTATCGTACTTTTTATTTAGTGCAAACATGTTATTTGCCTTTTTTTATCTAACGATGCAGTATTGTAGGTCTGAAAATTATAAACATTTTCAGTTTAAACTTAACTTAATTTTTAATGCAATCGACCAAAATATATCCCAGTACTTCAGGGGAAGTTGACGAAAAAATATTGTCTTTCATTTCTAGTCTCCTGTCAATTTGCTGATACAAGTGCGTATAGTTGGATTATTTTAAACTCTGCTGCTTTTTGCGTTTTGTGCATTTAGTTGTTCATAATTTAAATATTGTTGATATCAAATCCTTTGACGTTAGGTTGTTACGGAATCGCCGTGTGCCTGATAATTATGAGCTTCGTTACCAAGGACTACGCCTATATATCCGTAATCATGCTGGTATTCATGAATATATTCACTGGATCGATTCAAAACGGCGCCACGGTCAATTTAATGGACCTGTCGCCGAGATTCTCTGGAATCATGATGGGCTTCACTAATGGAACCGGTCAAGGCATAGGCATTCTCTCTCCTCTCTTAGTACAGCTAATGGTGAAGGATCAAGTAAAATAGCTTTCCGTATTCCGCCTACGCGAATTTCAATTTGGATATTTTTTTAGAGCAGCTTGGCTCAATGGAGGACGATATTCCTCATATCAGCGGGAGCGTATATTGTATCTGCGACTTTGTATGGAATATTTGCTTCGGGCAAACGGGAGTCATGGGACGGTCCGAAAGACCCAAACCTGGAGAGGATAAAAAAAGTATCTGTGATAAGCTTAACTGCAAATTAGTGAGAAGATCTGACTGTTACGTGTTGTGTTCAATCGTGATAATAAATTATTTTCAATACAACCTTTAAGATTTTTGCTAGTACCCACGAACTAAACTGACAGGAGCATATAGTTCTATAATAGAGGATAATTTTATTGAATTTTGATTGAAGATACATAAACAGTAACTTCTGTCAACCCCAAAATTAATTATAAATCGTACGAAATACCTAATGAACGATCTGCACAAACTGACAGGTTCATTATATAAATAGAAAACGACTTAGGCACAGAAAAATCCTGTACTATGGTAGGTCGCAGTGAAGGCGTTGAAGTCGTCACTGTGCTGCTCCAAGCCCCTAAGAAGTTGTCCAGAGGCACTATCACTATTAGGGTGTCCAAAATAAGGTGGCCTATGGCCTAAAGGACAACGCAAGAACCTTCTAGGAAGAAAGAGTGCAGGGGACACAACTGACTATCTCTGGCAATCGCTTGGAGAGAAAATATTTAATGACATATTAGGCACGAGCAATACAAACCTTATTTGTGTATGTCTAGTGGACAATTCAATCTCAGAGACATCATGGAGGTTGATAATCTGAAGGGCATATTCCACCAACCAAATAAAGGACTTGATACTAGAGCTGAACTTGACAGGACAGGTGTGCCGCAACAGACTGACTGGTCACAGCACAAAATCACACACAAGAACCTATAAATATATAGATAGAAAATACTACGGCTAAATATTTGTTTACTTAGTATCAAATAAATCATAGATGATCTGGAAGATAGAAAACAGCAAAGGATTGCTATACGAGGGGGTACCCATAAAAAAACGGAATTGAATTGCCGCGCGCAGAGCTCGTATAGTACACCTTTCTGCCGCTGGGTTGTGGATAGTACAACTTATTGCGAGTTCAACGCCACCTTCGTTTTAAATTTAACTTGTTTTGTTCACTTGCAGTGCCATTTTTTGCCATTATTTCGTTTTTTTCGATGTCAATTTTAAAAGAACAAAGTGCAGCTGTGAAATTTTGTTTTCTGCTCGGTAAAAGTGCTGCTGAAACTGTTTCAATGCTAAAAACAGCTTATAAAGACGATGCGATGGGAAAAACTCAAGTGCACCAGTGGTTTGTTCAATTCAAAAATGGCGACGAGTCAATTGATGACCGACCTCGTTCTGGACGTCCATCAACTGCTCGAATCGACGAAAATATTTAAAAGGTTCGAGAATTTGTGCTCACAGACCGTCGACAAACAATTGAACAATTATCAAAGATTAGTGGGTTGTCTTGGAGCACGGTTCAGCGAATTTTAACTGAAGATTTGGGAATGAAAAGAGTTGCTGCCAAGTTTGTTCCTCGTGTTCTGACTGACATGCAAAAAGAACATCGAGTTGCAACATGTCGTGCTTTGATTCAACAGCTTGAAACGGATCCAGATTTTCATTTTCATTTTTCATTACTGGTGACGAGTCATGGTGCTATGGTTACGATCCAGAAACGAAGCAATAGTCCAGCCAATGGAAGACGTCACTGTCTCCCCGTCCAAAAAAATGTCGTCAGGTCAAATCAAACATCAAAACAATTCTGATTTGCTTTTTCTACATCAACGGCGTAGTTCATGCAGAGTTCGTTCCACCAGGTGAGACCGTTAATCAAGCTTTTTATCTGGAAGTTTTAAGAAGATTGCGCAACAGTATTCGACAAAAAAGACTCCATTTTTTGGCGGACAGGGTACTAGTTCTTTCCCCACGATAATGCACCTGCACACACAGCCATTTCTCTTAAGCAGTTTTTGGCTAAAAATGGCATGGTTCCTCTGCCCCATGCACCTTACTCGCCTGATCTCGCTCCGTGTGACTTCTTCTTATTTCCACGTATGAAAAGGAACATGAAAGGACAGCGATTTGACAACATTGAAGAGGTCGAGAAAAAAACGAGGGATGAGCTGTCGGCAATAGCCAAAGATGAATATAAAAAATGTTTCGAACAGTGGAAGCACCGCTGGGACAAATGTATTAGTTGTAATAGACAGTATTTTGAAGGGGATAAGGTCGTTCTGTGATTTTCAAAACAATATATGGTTTATAAAAAATGATTCCGGTTTTTTTTTGTGTACCCAATCGTACTTTCAAGTTCATCAGAGTTGATCGGCTCAAATAGTAGAAACAAGAATCCCTTGGAAATATTCCCAGCAATCAACTTTTACTTACAAAGCTGAAAAATAAAATTCTTTGAAAATGACGGTTTATTTTACAACAAATAAAAACTTTGAACTTTAACATTTAAAATAACTTATATCACATTCTCAAGATCTATAATCTCCACAGGCTTGTCGGTAGTTTCCGATTGATCTTTGGACCCGGCATCCCACCATTGTCTGTCGCCGGATGCGAAAAACCCAAAGAACGTTGACGTCACCGCATATCCCAGAGAAGCCACTAAGAAAGGTATTCTCCATTGGGTTGGATCAGACTGAAATTCGTAAACAGAAATTCTCTTAAATGTAGTTCGTAATATCTATGGTTGAAACTTACCATGTCGGTTACGGTATATTGCACTACGATGGGTGCGAGCATAGCGATGGCGGACGACAACGTGTTGGAAAATCCGTGAGTTACCCCCGCGAACCTCGGAGATAAATCGATGAGATTAACATCGCTGCCGTATAGAATGCCACAGATCGCTGCATTTCCTATTATGGGCAAGACTATGGCTAAGGCAACCTGCGATTCGTTCAGGAATGCCATCCAGGCTAATACTATGGCTTGTACGTAGCTGCCTGCAATTGAAAAACATTATTTGAAGTACTCTTAATCAAAACCCAACTTTTAAACTGTGATGAATTATCGCCATATATGAGTTGTACTTTTCAAAGAGATCAGAATGGAACTCCTTTTATTTAAATTTCTTCATTTACCAGAGAAAGTTTGAGATTCATCTTAACAATAGAGACAGTATTTTCAAATGCAGAATTGCTTTCAAAAAGGATGGATGGAGAAAAAGCACTATGATACCATCCATAAATTTATTTATTGGAGAAGAACACTGAGGGAAATTAGTATAAGTAAATTGTATTTAAGTAGTAGTCGGTGATGGATGCTGAGATTATACTGGGTTTATCTAAGCAAGAACCTTTCAAACAACGATGAAATACAGTGGGGAACGACTTTACTTTAACTCTTATTCTCTAGAGTAAAATTACAATTTACAATGAAACTAATAAAAGCGTTTTGTGAAAAATAGGAATAAGATAAGACACTTCAAGTCCCAAGAAATTGAAACTATCATGTGTTAGGAGCAAAAGTTGGAGTGACGTAAGAATCATGCTTTTCAAGTTTCTCAAGTTCTGCGAACGTCATTGAAAAATACGATAATGCACTCGTTGATAGTCTACAGATAATTCTGATGGTCCGTTTTTATCAGCCATTCGACAACCATTATCTGATGAGATCACATTATAATTAAAATAAATTAGTTGCTCACCGTAGAGTTGAAAGAAGCGCCTTGCGTTTACGCGCGTCAACCATTGCCTTTCGATAATCTTATCCGAAGCGTATCCGTAAAGAGGTAGAGTTACAATGGCCGCTATATAGGGTAGCGCGTTCACCAACCCATTCTGAAACGCAATTACGTGAATCCCCACACCCGGAGCAAATATTTCCTTCACACTTACCCATTCGACGCTTAAATTCATCACGTTCACTAAATATTGAGACGTCTCGGTGGTGATGAAGATGTTACCGTACGCTGACCCCAGAAAAGCGACTACAACCGCCCAGTAATGAATCGACGTGAAAATCGCTTTCCACGGTGTGGGGATCGACTAAAGTGACAAAACCTAATGTAAAAATCACTTTCTGCTTTTACCTCTTACCCCTTTGTCTTCGTGTTGGCCCAACGACTCCTCGATGTACTTCCTTTCCGAAAGACTAATCGTTGGGTGGGTTGCTGGGCTGTCGTAACCCGCCCAACTCCATGCGAGGCACCACAGTAACCCCATAGCGCCGAAAACGTAAAATACCGACGGCCATCCCCACGACGAGCCGCTCAGGTATCCCGTAATGGGTCCCGATATCACCCCACCAACTCCGACTCCTAAAACATCTCTTCATTAAGGAGCCAACAATGTGGAAAGCCGATTTACCGATGTAAACGAACGTGGTCATACGACTTCTTTCATTTTCCGGTGCCCATTTGCCTATCATAATATGAGCGATGGGAAAGAAGAAACCCTGAGCCATTCCTTGGACCACGCGGGTACCCATGACTCCAGCGGAACCCCATTGGGCCGCTAAGAATGGTATTAAGCAAGACGCAACGGAATTGACCCCCATTGCAGCGCAAACCACCCACTTGTAGCCGTGGCTTATGCCCATTTGGCCCGCCAACACTTGGAGGATTATGTATCCCCATGAAAACGAGGATAATATAATATTGGTGTCGTCCCAATCGTAAGTCTGGAAAATATTATGACAGCATATAAACACGTGGAAGCAAAGTTTGAGTGGTGTGTACTATCTTCACTTGGAGACCTTTCTCCATTTAATATAAATCTTTATAGTCTGTGCAACTAAAATTCCACCATGCCAGTTTCATATTTTCCTGGTGTTACTCTTTTTTTTTAATACTTGCCGGTTAGTTTAGATCTTGCACATACAGATTGTTTGTGATTTCGACGCAATATGAAAACTTTTTCAAAATTTCAGATTACACCCATACCCAAATTAATCAAAATAAGAAAATTAACGAAATAATAAAATAAAGACTAGAAGTATATTTTGCAATAAGTAAGTGAATTTTTTCATTAGTGTAAGGGTCCAAATCAATTCAACAACGATAACGATCCGACAATTTATAATTCGTTTTAATTAGTTTACACGTCGTGATATGTTAGTTGTTTTCCTTTCGTTTATATAGCGATAACAATCTAACAAATAAATTAAAAATTTGTTTGCTTCATAATTTCGCATTGCGACAAACCCATTGTCGGGTACATCTGTTATTTCATAATTGTGACTGTTTTAAAAATACTAGTTAGTTTAAACAAAACCCCAACCATTAGGTCAACTATGATAAACCAAATGTAACTAAATTAAATTCACACCACATCTAAATCACTTTTATTTAGCTAAAATAATTTTTTTTTCGGTAGATGACCTCATGGATTTTGATTTTTTTTTTCATTATACCGTCAAAAGGGGATCAAAATTGTATATATTGAAATCTTAAAAAATATATCGTAAGAGACTTTGTCCTGAAGGTATTTTCGAAACCATTTGATTGAGAACTAATTTAAATTGACAGTTTTTTGTTTCTTTTTACGTGTATGTTATCAAAATTGGAGAGAAGGAATATAACCTTAGTTATAATAGTTCAATAATTAACTTAATTTAGATCTTGCAGATACAGATTGTTTGTCATATCGACACAATATCAAAACTTTTTCAATTCAAAATTTCAAATGGCACGCATACCCAAATTAATCAAACTAAATAATAAAGTAAGTGACTTTTTACATTAGTGTAACGGCCCAAGCTGATCAATTCAACAACGATAACGATCAAAGTCCTACAACTTAACATTCGTTTCAATTAGTCGTGATATGTTAATTGTTTTCTTTTCTGTATAAATGCGTAAATAACGCTAAAGATAAATTTTCAATGCCTATGCCAAAACGTATATCATACGCCTTATTATTATTTACCTTCGGTTGGTTGGTAATAAATCTAATACAATTAATGCTTATGCAGTGATAGCGATCTACACGGAAAAATACTTATAATTCTCGATAAAAAAAAATTAGTTGCCAAACCGCGGACTATCCAGAATTTTTTTTTATTATCTAGACCGAATATTATGTCCAAAAAATTTCTCAATATAGTTTTCAAGTTTTCTCTTACCAAATAAAGAGAAATTCTATTTCTTACAATTACAAAACTTTTACTTAAGTTGTAAATCTAAGGCAAGGCAATTCTCTTGTTCCGAATAAGACTCATTCAATTTGGAATAAGTTTACTCCAAACTAGTGTCAAATTTAAATCGAAGTGAGTTTTGCCGAAACGAGTTCCGTTAACTTCGAGTTATCTACACTTGGCAATATATGCGCAGCATCTTGCACATTGTTTTTTAAACCATTGAAGCAACGCATGCGGTTTCCAAAAGAAAATTTTAAAAGATTTTATTTTTTATACTGATAAGTACTGTAAAATCTTATCATTGTGCTTCTGTGCGTTCAATAAAGTTGAAGAAAAGGTCTTTTGGATATCGGGAAAAACATTTTTACATTGTAGAAAAAAAAAACGAGTGTTTGGTTCAAATAGCAAATGATTTTAATGAAAATATCGGTAATCATATGTAGAGAGAGGCCTAAACAACATTTCATTAAAATCTTCATTTGAGGTAAACTTATCTAAATCCATCTGGAAATGTATTTAAAATAAAGATTCCACAAAAAACTATGTACACGAAGGGCGCACTAACTAACCAATTTTTAATCCTAGGCTAATGATTCAACAATTTCTTCTCGCTAAAGTTTGGTTATCTTTTGATCAAGGTTAAGATACAACAGGGCAATAAGAAGGCACAAAGAGGTATAAATGAACTGGGGCTCACAAATAAGAGTTTATTTCGGTCAAAAAGATTAACTTACGGGTACGTCTGGATTGGACGAAGCATCAGGATCGGTCATGGATACTATAGCAACGTTAAGGATATTTCTCGAAGCGAACTCTATCGTTATGCAGAAAAACATCAAGATCGCCTGTATGTGCCGTTTTCCGAATTGGGCGCCTGCGAAACAAGTCTCCTCAAAACGTCCGTTTTAAATTACTGACAACTACTTACTCAACGGTTTCCCTTTCGCACTTTTCTCCATGTCGAAGTCGTAAACGGAGACGATTTGGTGGAATTCGACGCGTAACGTTTGATGGTTAGCTGAAACAAACCGAAGCACTTGTGGTCCCAACTAGGAAACGAGATGTACTTATATATGAACGAGTTTCGGATTTCCAGATGAACACGAACGATCTATAGACAGAGACTTACAGATTTTCTTAATTCATATCGAAGCTTATCGGTAAACGGAAATAAGTGGAATACGTAATAATTGGCGGCAAAATCATTGTTTTGCAGAATATTGTTGTGTAGATACTATTGTCTCGATATTATGTTGATGCTGCCCCGACAACAAAATCATTTCTCATCGTATACTGATCCAATAACATTTCAAATCGGCTGATATGGAAAAATTTTAGTACCGGTATTGTCAATTATTTTCTTCAATTTAGGAGGTTCTTCAGAACGTCTAATGTAGTCAGTGCTTTGATATAATGCTTACATTATCATTACATTATTATTGTGTAGTATAGTATAGTAAAACGTCCTAGTGAGTAGAAATAATGGTTCTATTAACACGTCTGTATATAGGAAACCTAATCACACAAGACAATATCTAAATTTTGAGTCTAACCATTCTGAAGTCATCAAACTAGGAACAATTAAAACACTGTGCAAAAAATTAAATAATATTAAAAAGGATTTGCTTCAAAACGGTTACTCCGAAAAATCTATAAACAAAATAATAACAAACTGTAAGCGGAAAACAACACCGGAACCATGTGAGGTAGATACTCTTTCTCTATTGACGATCCCATACGTGAAAGGAATATCAGAAAAGATAAACAATATCAAGTTAAATCTGGAACAACATAAGAAGTGTACTCACAAAAACAAAGCGTGAAACGTCGACTCAAGAGAAAGAGTGTATCTACCAGATACCCTGTGAATGCGGAGAGTCATATATTCGCGACACCAAGCGACCTCTAAGAATAAGAGTTGAAGAACTTAAGAAATATACAATGAAGGGTGAAACGCAAAAATTAGGTAACGCAGAACATGTGTGGACCAAACAACACAACATAAAATGGTCCAGAGCGCGGGTTGTTCACAGAGAGCGCAAATTTAAAGAAGCAGTTTTCATTAGAAATAATGAAAACATCTTCAGCAATCCAAGCGTGGATATACCAACAATTTGCAACCTCTAATAAGGCGCACCAATGCTGGCATTCTAGTTGAACAACTTCACGCTTGACTGCACACGACTCCGTCATGGATGAACGCTGTCGCCTAGTATGTAGAACTATCCGAAACGTTGTGTAAGTTAAAAATGAAGACAATGAAAGTTTCACATCCTTTTAGTATTTCTACTGAATCAGTGTCTACCACCTTCAAGCAACCATTACGTAGTATCGATAGAACAATATTTGTTCCAATTCAGGCTGCACTGTTACTACTACATGTACTTATGAAATCCCCTTTTATTTTTTCTTAAAACGGGATAAAAAGGAGATAAAATCAAAAATTTAAGAAAATTTTACAGAAATAGAAGACACAATTAAATTAGAACAAAAAATGTTCAGATTTTCACAGTTATTTATTACTTTATGACAACTCTTTCGACAATACCGTGGCTTTATCTAATACAAAATATGGCAATATACCGGTGTAGAGTTATAAATTTAAATTTAACAACGGAGACGCCTTTAAATACAATTGGTCATTCAGTAATAGATTCGAATGTCTCAAATGTAGGTTTTTTGCTTTTTGCTTCATTAAATTAAATGAACGGCATGGTCAGAATCCGAATTTTTATTTTTATACTCTCTTTTATGTTCAGATATAAATTTTGGGACATGATCCAAACTTCAACTTGTAGACTCCGGACATTTGAGTTTTTCGTGATTTAGTTTTATTGTTTTTTAAAAAATTTCCAATAGTGTTTTCAGTTTTGAAAAGCAATCTTAAGACCAAATTTAGATAGATGTTTCGAAACATTTCTACCTGATTGTGTACATAGATGTCGGGATATTCTCATATTATGCATTTGGTAAAGGCACGGCGTAGTCGAGTAAGCTGTCATAAGGTAATGAATAACTGTGAAAATCTGAACATTTTTTGTTCTAATTTAATTGTGAGAAATGGATTTTCATCAAGTAAAAGCCACCTCAGTTCAAAAAATAGAAAAACTAATATTAATAGAAAAATAGAAAAAAAAGTATTTTCAATAAAATCATATTATTACTATTAACGTTATATGTTTCCAGATCTCTATACAAGTTTAGGGAGATATTTTTTGACGGCCATGTCAATTTTACATTCAAATATCAATAAAAAATATCAGTAAACTAACACATTCAGTGACTTGGTTAGTTACTATCATTTCAACACTCCTTATATTCAATTTTTGCTATGCATTCAATATTCCATTGTTATTTTATTGGTTAGAATAAAAATGTCTCCTTTTACATCTATCTATCTATCTATACATCTATACATCTATCTATACATCTATATCTACTATAATTGCTTCGGATGTTTTGGACATCTATTTTTTTTAAGTTTTGTGGATAATAAACCCAAACCCAAAATGTGCAAAACTTATTAACCTATAAATCCTAAATGCTTAGCTCTCCCTTGCAACATTTGTGTAGAGACATTTTTTATTTCAAATTGCATTGGAATTCTTGAAATCTAATTTGACCATCCACCTAAGGACTCTCACCTTTAAGGCAATCGTTCCAGAATATCGGTTTGGTTGCCATGGAGAAAAAAAGATGACGAAACCAGTACAGGATATTAATGCACCAACGGAGAAGTTTGTACAGGGATTGTAAAAAGTTATTAAGTAAAATAAACCGAGATAAAAGGTTATGAATAATTTTATATCCAGTGCTAATCATTAAACCGTACGGTAGTCCCGCATGAAAATAATCCTTTTCACCCAGACCTTGTGTTTTGATAGTGAGCTGTTTTGACGGAATATTTTTAAACAAAAAAAAATAATTAGCGCTTTTCAGCGATTAAAATATCTTATCGCGTTTAACTCTCGAAGTCTATAATTCCAACACCCTTCGGAATACGTTTCGTTGATTAGCAATTTTTTGGAGGTCAAGACGCTTGTCGCAATTAACAGCAATAGACAAAACTTATTATTTTTTATCTCGCAACTGCGTCGACCGTAGGGATGGAAATTGACAGATAATTTTTAATTAATTTTTATTTTTAATGCTCTCGAGATAGTGGCAAACAAATTCAGACGGACTGTAAAAATTTTTCTAATTGAACAGATCTAGCTTCCTCAGATCTGTTAAACTATTTGGGAAATATTTACAGTTGATTCACATTAATATCACAATATAAAGTAACTTTTATTTTATCACTTGCATCAAAATCCTGGACGCTAAACTACAAACAAAAATAGTCTCATTATCTAATCTAACATTTGAAAATCGAAGAAAATATAATTGAAACTGACCTGCAAGTTAAAATCAGGGCAAATATTTCAAATCAAAAATATAAGCTCGCAAGTGCTAGAAACTCCCCGATATAAGAACATTGATTCAAAAGTAGATATTAATTTCAGGCAAAAGTTTTTGTGCGATGTTTCAAAAATCGTTAAATAGAAAAAAAGTGCAGAATATTTGCTTATAGTTGAAATAACGTATTGTACACATTTTCAAAAATGTATTTTGGTATTGCCGTCTTTTTTTACTTTACTAACCATATAAAAAAGAAATAAAATAAAAAGCCATAATTTGTTTTTATTTAAAATTGTTTAAGTTATTTTAAAATATTAAAAAGGATATTTTAATTGTTGCACCTCGTAACATCAGGGTTAATTAAATATAATGTAAACATAATTATTTTCCTCGAATTATTGTTAAACAAATATTTCACTACTAATGTTATTCGATTTTAAAAAAATCCGGTTTTTAACAAAAAAATTTAATTTTATTAAAATAAAATCATTAATTTTAGCAATTTTAGCATATTAAAATATTTTGTGACCTCTCTTATATTTCGAGCGTTAATGAATGAATATTTCTTTCGTTGAACAGTTGTTGAGAGATAAAATTTCATTCACAAACTACATGCAAATAAAACAAAAACAATATACATTAAATGCAGATATACGCACGCTTATGATAAAAATTCATTATTTATAATTTTTTCTTTCATTTGCTTGAAAGGGCTAAAGGACTACAGAAATAACTACGACTAATATGCATATTGTAATAAACAAATACTTAAATTGATCCTTATAAATGTACACTCAGAAAAAAATGGGTTTTGAAATGCACAAGAAATCACCTTGTAATAAATCAATTGTTGACAATTTAACTAATCAAGATATAACATTTTAGGTACATTTGAAAATATTTTGTATTTATTTGTTTATAAATTATTAATTTAGTCACTTCGAAGCATCATGGATTTTCTTCTTTCCTATATTGTATTGTTTGTATTGTTTTAAACGGAGTTATGTTTAAAAAAAATGATTACTTGCTGACTACAAAAGGACGTTTTTTCGTTCTCTTATAACAATAAGATGACAGCATTAGTCAAACTTGAACGTTTATATTTTAAGGGCTGTCGGTTGTTACTTCTGAAAGATTTATTTAACATTGTAAAAAGAAAAGAGGGTCTGCTGTCATGTGACTTTTAGCAGCCAATGGAACAACGCCATTAGCGTCGTCGGCACCTTCTCAGTAGTCCACTTCTCTTGTTAGGAAGTGACCGCTATTTGCATTTTCAGTATCTCCAAGTTTTTGTAAACATTTTCTTGTTGGTTATAAAAATAGTTTTTTTTTTAATTGGCGATAAGCAAACACGCAATATAGTATGTAAATATCATATAAGGTCTGTATAAAATTAAGCAGTACAAAATAGTGCAATCAAGAAGGGGTGAAAAATCACAATAAAATATTCTTTATAATTTACTTCCATTTTATTACCAAAACCTTAGTAATAGTAGGATTGAAAAAAACCTGTTCGTTTTATTTTAAGTAAGATATTATTAATTCAAAGCAAATTTAATTGCAATAAAAATATTTTGTTTTACGAGTATAAGAAACCCTGTTACATTAATATTCTATGTGCCTGAAATTAAGAAATTGAACTTTATAGACTAAGGATAGTGTTAAGAGAAAAAATGGACTATCCTTAAAATTCATAATGATCGCCTCTTTGTTTTAAATGTATAATTTGTTTAAATGGTAATTTAAATATTTAAAATAATATTTTGTGATGCTTATTTTATGATCTGTAAATTATATTTGAATGGTTTCCTTTTCAATCCAAATGCAGTCAATGCTTTTGTTCTAATAAGAATAAGTAATCAAAATTTTCATGAAAATTGTCCGCAAATGTGGTACAATTAACCATCTCCCGTCAGAAATATAAAATCACTCCTTAAATTATTCGATATTATACATATCAGTTTTACATATATTTTATATTCAACACTGCGAAACAAAGTTAACTTAAACGCCATCCATCTCCACCGACAACAGAACAGAACGTTTTTTTTCTTTTTCCAGTTTTACAATGCTTTGGTTAGGTTACAGCTACTGTGATGTTCACATTTAATGACTATGAGGAAAGCATTACATATTTACTCTTTAAAAAACAACAAAAACTATTTTCATTCCGTTCTATTCTTCTGATTTTACCCCTCTTGCGCCTAACGTAGCGTTTAATTCATTCAACCACATTGACAGAACACAGACAGAATTATTATTATTATTATACATTGAAAAAGTTCTTGGTTTTGGCTTTAGGTTGTTACGGAATCGCCTTGTGTCTAGTAGGTATGAGTTTCGTGACGGCGGACCACGCCTATATATCCGTAATTCTGCTGGTATTCATTAATATATTCATGGGATCGCTTCAAAATGGTGCCGTGGTAAATCTGATGGACTTGTCGCCGTGATTCTCTGGAATCATGATGGGTTTCACTAATATGGTCGGTCAAGGAATCGCCATTCTCTCCCCAATCTTAGTACAATTTGTGGTGACGGATCAAGTAAACCAGTGTACCATCTTCCACCTAATTGTATTGCAATTTGGATTTTTTTAGAGCAACCTGGCTCAATGGAGGACGGTATTCCTAATTTCAGCCGGCACGTATGTCGTTTCTGCGACCATGTATGGAATATTCGCTTCAGGCGAACGACAGTTGTGGGACGGTCCAAAAGATCCTATCATAGAGAGGCTAAAGAAAGGGTCTATAATAAGTTTAACTTCGAATTAGTGAGAAGATCTGACCGTTACTTGCTTTGTGTTCAAACGTGATAATAAATTATTTTTACTACAACCTTGCCTTTAATATTGCCATAGCTGATTCATCAACTTAGATTGGAAACTGAAACCTGAAAATCCTTGAATAAAGAAAAGGATGACCAAATGAACAATCTTGTGTTGTAGCAATTCTTCTCATGGACCAATGCCACAACTACACACATCAGTTGTTTCCATTCGAGTTATGATTGTAACTACCTACTTTTTGATTTTTTGGATAATATTAGTCAAGTTCTCCACTGCTCCTTTCTGACAATATAAGGCTTAATTCCAACGATCAGTCTAAGACTGAACATGTTAAATTCTACAGGCGTGAAAAATACAATAATGCATTTGTTGAAAGATTACAGATAAGAACTTGTTTTATCGGTATTTTGAACAACGTCAATGCGACAAAGATGTTTGATAAGTTCAAAATTATGACGGCGGCATTTTCATTGTCGCTGAGCTGGTCCACGGAGAGAGATGATAAACTAAAATTCGAAAAACTATAGTAAAAATGACGGTAGTATTATTTGCTGGTTTGCCTTAACATAAGCCCAGTGACACGTCGATTATTCCTTTTTCTAAAGAAATGTAAAGGTTTTTTTCAATTTATCATTTGTAGATTTTGTGATAGATAATCATGTAGGAATAAGCGTAGATAATGATTTCGGAATTTGCCACTCCAAGTTGCGTCAATTTCACATGCGAAAAGGCCTGTAGAATAAAGATAACAAGCTGCGAGTCATAGTAAACATGTTTTGTGCGTTACGGTTGAAATAATTGAGAGAACCAATTCCCTCCCATTGGTCATCGTCTAAGTTTCTCTAGACCATTGCTTTGCGAACTCCCTCATGCCATGTTCTTTTTGGGCGCCCTCTTTTTTTTGGGTGGCGTGGTATCCAATTCATTTTTTGTTTAGGTAATCTGTAGTCGTTCATATGCTGTACGCGGCCGTACCAGATCAGTTGTTTCCATTCGAGTTATGATTGTATCTTAAAGTACCATTTGTTGGTGAATACTTTCATTGCAAACTCTTTCTCGTTCTTGATAATCTTGTTGGTCTTCTAAGTGCATCTATTTCAGTTGATTCTGTTAATCTTTTATGTTTTTCTGTCATTCTCCAAGTTTTTGAACCATACATTAAGTTACTTTTAATTAGAGTGTTATATATATTGTATTTCCTACGTTTCGATATATTTTTACTCCAGAGGATTCCGCTCAGACAGTTAATGCAACCCCTAGGTACTCTTCACAGGCTTCTATGCCTTCTGAGTTTTCCAATTGTAGGTTACCACTTTCCCTTCCTATGCATAGATATTACGTTTTTCCACCATTCATAGTGAGTCCCCAATCTTCATAGGTTTCTTTTAGGTTGCGTACCATTTATCTCCCTGCTATTACTGTCTGATCGTCTGCAAACTGTAGGTTAAATACTGTTCTATCTGTTAGGGATATTCCCATTAAGGAACATTTTTATTTCCATTTTAGTGAGGTTACTTAAACATTTTAAAAAGCGCTGCACTCTCAGCGAAGCCCCTTTGTTACGGAGAAATCTCTGGACAGTTTAAGTGGATTTATTATAAAGGTTTTTGAAAGCAATTATTAGAGTTTGATTAAAGGAGGTACCTTGCATTATTTCCTAGAGCCTACTAGTTGATATGTTATCATAAGCTTTCGAGAGGTCAATGAATAAGATATGCGTTTCTCAATTAACTGCGGACCTTTTCCCTATTATCTGCTTCATGCAGAATAAGTTGTCCGTGTAAAATCTTCCGGCTCTAAATCTACCTTGCTCTTCTTCTATGAACACTGCCTCTATTAAAGCTCTTAATATCCTTCCACATAATATGCTTATTGAACTTGTAACTGATAACCCCCTGTAATTCTGACACTCCGCTTTGTGGCCTTTGTGGACCAGGAACTTCCTGACTATTCAGGCACTTGTTAAAGCTCCATATTAACGCTGTCATTAGTTTCGCAGTGCCGCTTTTTAATAATTCTGAGTATATTCCCTCTGATCCACATGACTTTCCATTTTTCAGTTTGGTATCCGCTCTGCTTACTGTTTCTTCTTCTATTTTTACGTGTTCTGTTTCAATATTAACTAGCATCTCCGAGATGTGATCCATTTCCTTGGCGTTTTGTTTCGGTTAACAATATTATGTCTATTTTTAGTTTGTCGACTTCTGAAACTGTCTCTGGCATTTTCCCCCGATTTCCTTGAACGTTCCATGTACCCCAAATCATATTCCATTCCTTAGTATTGTTTCGTTTTCCATTTAATGCGCCCGAGATTCCGAGACATCGCCTAGATTTTTCGTAATTTGTAATTTTCCTAGTGATAAAGGACCAGTCCATCGCGCCAACCCCGAACCTGGAGGACCAGGTAATTTGTGATCAGAGTTGTCTTCTCCTAGGGTTTAATAAGCCAACATCGATAACTACAACCTAAATAATTGTTATTTTTTAGATTTAAATATTTGTTACCATTTACAAACATTATTAAAAATTAACTTCACCTTACAAAATGTTGTGTGTTATATTCTAAATATTTTAATTACGTAAGAGAATCGAATTATTTACTTTTTTGTTTATAGTTTACTGATTACATATTATCAATTCGACAATCTTCAAACCGCTTTCAAGTTGCAATTGAGTATATCAGATTATTTACTTTGTTACCGGCGGAATTTTGAGAGAATGGTTTGCCAGAAGTCAGAAGATAAGAAATGTCAACGGACAATTGCGTATTTTTTAGATCCAATAATCGACCAATGTCAAACTGATAAAGCACCAAAACAACAATAATGATATAAAAAACAGAAATAGTAAAATATTTCGCTGTCATTTTCCTTCAAGCGTTCTTTATTTTCTCTGCCCACTTCTTTCTTTCTTTCCTTTCGTTCAGTACTTTTAACACCTGCCTTCTTTTTCTTTCATTTCAGTCCATACTTCCTTCTGACCAATACATTTTTGTTCCCCACCGTACTATTGAAAACCATCATTCCATTTTCACGATTTTGTTCGCTTTTTCGGCTTGATTTCACTTGTAAATTTCGGCCTTGAATCAATACGCATATTGAGGACCAGTATATCGTTTTTTTTGTTTTAAAGAAAAAATTTAAAAAAAAAACAAAGTTTTCATGTAATGTAATTATGTAAAAAATGATAACAAAAAACACTTCCTGTCGATACCTGATTCGTATCACTTGTCCTCAAAGGGTAGATAATAACAAATTTGGAAATTTGTCTAAACTAAAAACATTCTAATATGTCAACGATTTTTTAGAAAGTAGTTGCGCCTAGCAGCATACCGTCGGTGGTAAACGAATATTTTCTTTATAAAGGTGTCTTGAAATCCATCCATTCTCCAAGTTTTTGAACCATACATTAAGTTACTTTTAATTAGAGTGTTATATATATTGTATTTCCTACGTTTCGATATATTTTTACTCCAGAGGATTCCGCTCAGACAGTTAATGCAACCCCTAGGTACTCTTCACAGGCTTCTATGCCTTCTGAGTTTTCCAATTGTAGGTTACCACTTTCCCTTCCTATGCATAGATATTACGTTTTTCCACCATTCATAGTGAGTCCCCAATCTTCATAGGTTTCTTTTAGGTTGCGTACCATTTATCTCCCTGCTATTACTGTCTGATCGTCTGCAAACTGTAGGTTAAATACTGTTCTATCTGTTAGGGATATTCCCATTAAGGAACATTTTTATTTCCATTTTAGTGAGGTTACTTAAACATTTTAAAAAGCGCTGCACTCTCAGCGAAGCCCCTTTGTTACGGAGAAATCTCTGGACAGTTTAAGTGGATTTATTATAAAGGTTTTTGAAAGCAATTATTAGAGTTTGATTAAAGGAGGTACCTTGCATTATTTCCTAGAGCCTACTAGTTGATATGTTATCATAAGCTTTCGAGAGGTCAATGAATAAGATATGCGTTTCTCAATTAACTGCGGACCTTTTCCCTATTATCTGCTTCATGCAGAATAAGTTGTCCGTGTAAAATCTTCCGGCTCTAAATCTACCTTGCTCTTCTTCTATGAACACTGCCTCTATTAAAGCTCTTAATATCCTTCCACATAATATGCTTATTGAACTTGTAACTGATAACCCCCTGTAATTCTGACACTCCGCTTTGTGGCCTTTGTGGACCAGGAACTTCCTGACTATTCAGGCACTTGTTAAAGCTCCATATTAACGCTGTCATTAGTTTCGCAGTGCCGCTTTTTAATAATTCTGAGTATATTCCCTCTGATCCACATGACTTTCCATTTTTCAGTTTGGTATCCGCTCTGCTTACTGTTTCTTCTTCTATTTTTACGTGTTCTGTTTCAATATTAACTAGCATCTCCGAGATGTGATCCATTTCCTTGGCGTTTTGTTTCGGTTAACAATATTATGTCTATTTTTAGTTTGTCGACTTCTGAAACTGTCTCTGGCATTTTCCCCCGATTTCCTTAACGTTCCATGTACCCCAAATCATATTCCATTCCTTAGTATTGTTTCGTTTTCCATTTAATGCGCCCGAGATTCCGAGACATCGCCTAGATTTTTCGTAATTTGTAATTTTCCTAGTGATAAAGGACCAGTCCATCGCGCCAACCCCGAACCTGGAGGACCAGGTAATTTGTGATCAGAGTTGTCTTCTCCTAGGGTTTAATAAGCCAACATCGATAACTACAACCTAAATAATTGTTATTTTTTAGATTTAAATATTTGTTACCATTTACAAACATTATTAAAAATTAACTTCACCTTACAAAATGTTGTGTGTTATATTCTAAATATTTTAATTACGTAAGAGAATCGAATTATTTACTTTTTTGTTTATAGTTTACTGATTACATATTATCAATTCGACAATCTTCAAACCGCTTTCAAGTTGCAATTGAGTATATCAGATTATTTACTTTGTTACCGGCGGAATTTTGAGAGAATGGTTTGCCAGAAGTCAGAAGATAAG